TCAAAACTGAAAATTAAAACTGAAAATCAATAAGAAAAATATTTTTTTCTAAATGTTTTGATTTAGATTTTAAATTGAAAATAAAAACGGAATCAAATTACTTGTTGTATTTATTATATTTAAATATAATGTTATATATTTAAATACAGTACAATGTTATATATTTAAATACAGTACAATCTTAAATGTTAAATGTTATTTTATTATTTGATTGGATTGTAATATATTTATAATCTGCATTGTAGTTTCTACCTATTATGTAATTTCCATATGGATATGAAAAAAAAGTGAAAAATGTTATATAGCACAACAATAATTATATAGAAAAAGAATAATAGCAAAGACTGGCGAATTTTTTATCATAAAATGTTTGATATTTTCCCATGAAAAATAGTTTGTTTACTTTGGTTCATATATTTATATTAAATTGAATTGAATCCAAACCAAATTGGAATACATTTAGTTTTTAATATTTATTTAGAATGACATTTTAATAAAAAAAATGAATTAACTCAAGTTAAAAACACCCCTAATTTATTTCATATCCAAAATGGTATCACTAAATAAACCATCTTTTTTTATTAAAAGAAACATATGGTTATATTTTTTTATGATCTAAAAAACATAAAATAATTGATAAAAATAAACGGCAGAATTTATAAGGATCCATGAGAACTCTAACAGAAAAAAAATTAAAAAATACATTAATAACATTAAATATTTATTTTTGTACCTAATTAAATCTATTAACTCTAAATGGAAGTTTATTAACATTTTCGAAATATTAATAACATGAAAAATACCCATCTCCCTTAACACTACCAAAAACATATGGATGAAGCAAAAAAGCATGGTAGATAAGAGAGCCTAAAATTGATACACCTTTCTCTTTTTATATCCCTTTCAAACATCAAATAAAAACACATAATATTTATATTTTTTTTAGTTAATTCATCATAAATTCTTTTTACATTTTAAAATAAAAGTGATATTTTATTGGTGTTTAAAATAAAAGTGAAAATTGGGTGAATGTGTATCATACCCCAATTGATAAAGTGAGTTCATTTCACACACCCAAAAACGCTTCCAAAAGCCAAAATATTGTAATAATTGTAATGACCAGAACAGAGCAAGCAAAAGTTTGAAAAAACTCTTTGATGATCTGCTTGAAAATACAAAAGGATTGAAAACAAAACTGAAACTTTTACAATAAGATCTTCTTGAAGGCCATTGTTGAATGCATCTACCAAATTAGTTTCTCTGCTAAGGTTTTTTTATTACTTTTAAGAATCATCAGAACAAGAACACAAAAAACCTGAGAATCTACACTCTGGTGCAGAGTAAGCAACTGATAAACCTTGTCCAAGCCACAAGCACACGAGGATAGATCCTGTTGGTGTAGATTCTTAATTCTCTTTCCATGTCTTCCATGGTTTCTACGAAGAGGTTTAAGTTTCTGATGGGTGGAATAAATAGGACCAAAGGAATAGCTGAGAAACCCACTGCGAAGAACAGAGACGACATAGTTCTTCGTTTTATCCTTCGAATTCTGTCACACCCTCCACTCACAGAGGAATAGCATCAAAGGAAACAAAGCGAAAGTTTAAAACTTTTATCACAAACAGAAAAAGGGCATTCAAATTTGGGAGATTTATGTCAAAAAAATAGAGGAAAGAGAGAGATCAAAGGTTTGAAAAGTTAACAGAAAAAAGGTGTGAAACTGCTCAGAAACCTAAATCCAAAGAGAAGAGAAGTAAGGAATATATATATATATATATATATATATATATATATACTCGCTCGTTCATAGATAGAATCATTTATCTGCGTAAATTATTTTCTGTTTGGATTTTTTTTCTATTTTATTCTTAAAAATTATTTTAAGGAATTTATTTATTCTTAAATAACATGAAAATATTAGGTGTATCAAAATATTATTTTTTTGTTTTTTTTTTCTCTTAAATGGATGCTCTCTAATTTTAGGTGTAACTTAATAGTTTTTCCAATTTTCATTTTAGTGACGTTGGGGTAACCAAATTTATTATTTAAAATTCATAATCAATCATTTTATTTAATGGATTGTTTGGGTTACTAATTTAGTCTCTTTTCATATTATGATTTTTTATTAATTTTTATTTTTAATTTTGAATAAATGATAAATATAATGAATATTTAAATAAAGAAAATGAGATGTATAATTTTAATGATGATTATTATAATATATTATGATTTTATATAATTTATTTATTAAATTTTAATAAAATAGTATCATATTACAAATAAAATTTAAAATATATTTATAAATTTATATGTTAAAATATAAATTTATGTTGAAAATCGAATATTCATAAAATTTTAATTTTGTATTCGAATTCAATTACAATTATCAATTTTACTTAATATTATTTATCCAACTGTTTATTTCATCTAATTCGATGCGTGTACTCAAAATTTACTATAGATTCTTTTGGATTCGGTCAATACAAATTTTTTCTCAATCCTAGACTTACGTAGTAAAATCTTTGTTTCTATCTTAATTTCTCTTATTGTGCAACAACTTTATGTTTTTTATTATTATTATTTTATTTGGTACCACCTACCATAAATATATGTTTTAATATAAGAATGCCACTTATGAATTTGGGTTGATAATCATACACCATGCCAGCAAGCATATTATATAAATTCAATATGTGATTTTATATCATGACAATCTAATACTTTATTTATACGATTATAATAGATAAATACTTTTGAATATATGAAATATATGTAACAACGGTTTAAACGTCATGGATTATTAAAAATATGTAAAATTAAAAATTTATACGAAAATATACTTCAAAAAAATCTTATTCAATTATATTATTTCGAGTAATAAAATAATAAATGAAATATTTCAATTATATTGTTTTAACTTATAAAACAAAATAGCTTTAAATAAATAGGTTATTTCCGAGCCAATCACGCTTATGAAACATTTATAATATTATTTGCTCACGTATTATCATCGCTAATAATTTCATTCACAAACACATAAACAGAAACATATATAGGTAAGTTACTAATAAAACAAACATAATTATATCAACCATAACCAAACACACAACAACATACATATTTTCTGATTATATCAACCATAATCAAACACAAAACAAGAAATATACATTCTGATTATATCAATCATAAACCAACACCTCATACATAGTTGTAATAATAATAGGATTCATAATCCTCTAAAATAAACAATCTAATCATACTTAATTACTCGATCCTCGATCCCCAATCCTTGAATTTCGATTATCGATCATTGATCTCTAACCTTTGATGTCATCACTAACATCTCACATATATACCCTTGGTCAATCCATTCATTAACATCTATGCCAACTACCTACTATAACCATTATAGTAACATCGCTATCAACATAGCAACAGCTGGACCATCTCAAGTACCATGATCATCATCATAAATACATCACCATCATGACTATCCTAGTCATGAACAACACCATGAGCATCATCGTATCATAATACCATAGAAAAGAGTTTATCTCACTATCGTACCCTATCTCACTAACAATAGCCCCTTCTATAGCCCACATGTACGTAACCTCCCATACAAAACATTTGTAGCCTTACTTACAAATCATCTCCTTCCAATGCATACAAGACAAAAAGGAAACACCTATTCGCAAACAGAATCAAGATTTATGAGGTACACCATGTAGACTTATCTTTCAATCTCATACTCATAAATTACATACTCAAGTATATCCCAACACTCACTCATGCTCTATTCTCAACCACAAGTCAAACTAACCGTAAACATAACCACGAAGATGGACTTCAATAAAAAAAAATTAAAGTTAACACGAGACTGGCACTTCTACAAGCAGGATAAAGATGTCTACGTGAAACTCTGATTGTCGCATGAGATAAAACTTAACATTGTTGAAAATGAGAGACTAAACAAAATTAAAATTTTTAGAAATTTTTTTTTTTAGATTTTTGTAATATTTGAGAGACAAAAACATATTTAACTCTCTGTTTTATTGCATAATTATTCTAAAAATATAATATATAAATTTGCAATTTTTTTGAACAAGGGAATTTTTTTAGCCTTCAACCATGATCGTTTTTGTTGTTTCACAATAAAGATTCAATTATTTTTCAGAAAGTTTCTAAAACCATATTATCATTATAATTTTTTAACTTAAAATTTATTTGTTAAAATCCTATCAACTATTTTTTTATTAATACTTATTTTTATTGAAAAATATAATATTATATAGTATTTTGCCAACAACTATTAAAAAACACAACTGCGTAAAACTCATTAATATAAGTTCAACAGTAGCTTTTAGAAATTTGATACTCTCACCCAGATTAGAATTCACATTTTTAATAATTATTTCAAAAAATATAATTAACACGGTTCATTTAAATAAGGATGCACTCAATATCTTAAAAATACTATTTACAGTACTTTTGTTTTTTATATTTAAACTTATTTTATTTTTTAATGTTTTGAAATTGTGTTTTTCATGTTTAAATATATATGTGAAACACTTCTACTTTTCTCTTACATTAAATTTTTCTATTTTGTCATCCCAATCTAAAAACTATAAATGAAATCCAATGCATTTCTTTTAATGATTAAGTATCTCTTCTCGTCCATAGATAAAAATTACAAAATTTTTAGTATAATAAAACAAAATTTCAAGAAATAATTTAATAAAAAAAGTAACAGACAACACGAATGCAATTTCTGCTGTAATATTAAATTAACAATAAATATTAGTTAAGAGATTTTTTTACTATTTAAAGTAACCTCTATATTGTTAGAGAATATTTTTAAACAATTACGAAAATTAATGAAATGCAAAAATTGTGTAATGTTATATAATCCATTAAAAGTAAAAAGAAGAAAGTGTAAAAAAGAAAAAAAAGTAAAAAAATAAAAAGAATAACTCTTAAAATTTACTGCTGAGTCTTCATTAGCCCTATTCAGATTCAGTTTCTCTTTGCCTTTGTTTCTCTTCCAAACTACAGAACCAAACTCGCTCACTGAAACTCGACAAAATTAGGGTTTCTGCAGTGATGGCACTCTGCAATCGCGTCAGATCGGGAATCTCCCTCTTCAAAAAATCCACCTCCCTCACTTCCCACCGTTCCAATCTCCAACGATCTCTCGTTGCCCCTTCCATTTCCCTCGTAAGAATCATAAACCCAACAATCTCAATTTTTCTTTCTAGTTTCACTTCCGTGCCCTCTATTCGTTTGAAAGTTTTTGAATCTGCGATTTTTTATTGTTCTTCATTTTTATATTTTGATTCATAACTTGCTCTTGTTTCATCCTGTTCTTGTGCAGGCCTCCAGAAATTATGCTAACGTGCCCGGAGAAAAGGACCAAAAAGTTAAGGTATTGGAATACATTATTTTGGGTTGTAATTTATTGTGTGTGATTCATTGATGAAACGAATATGCGTGGAAAACTGTGTGCGTCGATGTATTTTCGGCTAAGTATAGTTTGTTGAATGGAGTGGTTATATTTAGTAGAATGGGATAGTCCTTCACAGTGCCGCGAAACATGTTTTGCACCCCTATTGTGATATCTTGTATTTAGTGTGTCGATCGGGATTTCCTTGAAGGAGATACCTTTGGGTAGCCAAAAGAATCTTCTTTTTGATCATGTATTCAGTTAGTGCTGGTTGAATGTTTGTACAAAGTTTCTGTCCCCTGTTGTGCTTGTTGTTTTCCATGGTTTGGTCCAGTTTTTCATGTATTTTTTTCTCTTCTGTTGCTTTTTAGGTTCCTTTGGCCTTGTATGGAGGTTCAGGAAACTATGCCTCTGCTTTGTACATTGCATCTGTCAAAGCTAATGCAATCGAAAAGGTCGAGTCTGAGCTTCTGCAATTTGTTGAGGCAGTACAGAATAGTTCCAAATTTTCACAGTTTATAAAGGATTTGTCTGTGGCTAAGGATGTTAGAGTAAAAGTCATCCAGGAGGTTTGTGGAGAAGCTAAGTTTTCGGATGTGACAAAGAACTTCCTTGGTAAGATAAGTCTTCAATCCTCTAGTTGGCATGACACGTGTGAATTTCCTTCTGACTGTAGAGCATTAATCCTGAAAGAAGTAATAATTTCTTCTCTTATATATTGTCTCTTCACATGCACATACTATTGTACATATTTTCTTTTTAATACATTTTAGCTATTCAACGTGAATTTTAGCTACACTCACATCTTTCAGTGGATTTTATATTTGCATCTTCTTTTTACTTCCCATGATTGGAAATTATACTTAAAGTATAGCTCCTTATCACCCAATTGTCTCCAATGTTTATTCCAGTCATATTAAATTTACTGTTAATTGACAGTTTAAGTGTGAATCACCAGAATTCCGAGCTCTCTTTCCACTTAGCTTTTTCTGCATGTGAGTTATAAAACATTGAAACACACTTTCTAGTGTTTGAAATACTAATATTTATTTACTGACAGATGGAATTGGGGAGGATTACTGCAAGACTATAACCTCCTCTCACAGAGCAAGTGCTTCAGAGAATAAATACTCTGCCTAATAAACCCTTAGCTGAAAAAGTATAAAACAACAGGAACGCCCAGATACCCCTAACCTTCGTTAACCCCTCTAAAGCTTGCTGTCACCCTTTTTGGGTCATGGCAATCATGCCAAAACAGTAAGGAAAACATAAAAGAATTTAGTCATGTGCTCCTTCCTTAATTCGCATTGTATTTCTCCTAGTATAGATGCTAATCTTAGGTCACTTCCCTGACGCTCAAGCTGAACCTATCCTACTTAGCTGACTTTATGCTAATTATAGGAGTTTATCTAGAATAATACTATTAAGAAGGATGCCTTTGGGAGTGTTACACAAAAAGAAAAGGTCTGAAATATAACAAGTTATCTCTCTCCGTCTCTGGTTAAGCATGACAGCCATTACTGTCAAAATATTATGTCAGGGTTCTTGCATGTATCAGTATTTGAATAGAATATAGATAGAGATGGGCAAAAAACAGGAATTGAACTCTCGCATGGTGGATTCACCATCCACTGCCTTTATCAATTTGGTCACATCATTCTTTATAATATGTAAAAATGATCTATATCTCAATTTCTTAATTAATCATAAAATAAATAAAAAGAAAACGTATGTATAAATCTGAATAATAGATTACTAATAAAATAAAAAAGGTGCAATATTAAAAAAGGTTGTTTGCATTCTGGTTGAAACTTAAAATTCGTGTTACAATAGCGTTAGTCTTCAAGGCTACGTGTCATGGCTTTTGTTGGAACTCTTGTCTTGGGAGACTGTTAGTTACTTTGGTGCCACTTTTGTAGCACTTCAAACTGTCTCATTTATCTTGAACTAAATTAGATGCTAGCCACATTATTTTTTTATACCATTGTTCATTGATTATTATTTTTTGCTTGTGAAGTTATTGCTGCTGAGAATGGAAGGCTTAAAAACATAGACACCATTGCAAAGAAGTTTAGGGCGTTGGCAATGGCATACAAGGGAGAAGTGAAAGCGACTGTAACCACCGTTGTTGTAAGTACCTTTTCGAGTATTTTTACATAGTAAAATTGTAGCGTTGAACATCTAATTCTGAACGAGAGCTAGTATATCAGCATGCCCTACACCTACAGATGAATGCTGTTTTATTGGTTAGTTGTTCCTTCTGTAAACTGTTTAAATGGTCATGCTAATTTCGGTAGTTGGGCATGTTAGTGTTTTGTAAAATTGTATTAAGATTGGCTTTTGGATGCTTTAGTTGGATGTGATATGAAGTTATGTCGCTGGACAACAGTGTGATTAGTTATTTCCTTACCTAACTATATTTTTTTGCCAGGCTCTTCCCCCTGATGAGGAAAAGGCTTTGAAGGACACTCTTCAAGAAATAATGGGTTCTGGAGCAAAGGTTCATCTTGAACAGAAGGTACTAGTGTGAAATTTTGTCCACCTGAGATTATGTGCGTGCGTCTCCTGAATTAAAGTTGTTAATTTCGGACTTTTTTCCTTTTGATTTTTCAGATTGATCCTAGCATACTTGGTGGTATTGTGCTGGAATTTAACCAGAAGGTCTTTGACATGTCTATTAAGACCAGGGCACAACAGATGGAGAGGATCCTCCGAGAGCCCGTATCCATTGCCAACATCTAAATGACAACATTCTGTGTGTTGTCATGGTTTAACTTACATTCTTGTTCATTATAAATTGTGTGGATACAGATTTTTATGCGATGGAATGTCATCATTTTGCAAATAAAAGCTACCTCTTTCCAACTTCTTGTTATACCTTGTCGCAATCTCAGTGTAACAGAATATATTTTTATTTGGAATTTTTAAGAGGTTTTTATTAGTTGGTGTTGCCTGGCAATCTGAAATTGTTGCGTCCTAATACAAAGTAAAGGAAGTCAAGTCTGTATGCATTGGATGGGTACTATTAGTAAGTATGAAACTAACATCTACTTTTTGCTATTATAAGATTTCACGATTTTAGTTTTGCATAAATCGAAACATTATTTATTCATCAATTTTAAATTGTTATGTGCAAAAGTTCGTAGGGTACTATAATATTAATTAATGACGGCTTACCTTTGCCTTGTTAAAATTTGGGCAAAGATTAAACCAAGCTGATTGCTTTAAAAAGAGAAAGATTGCTAAATTAGAATTATATTTATTCATAATCAGTTTAAGACTATAATTCATATATCATCTGAAACATTGCTAAATTATAGATTTTAAAATTATTTAAAATGTTTTAGATTACATGATTCAAATTAACTATTTTTAACATTATATATTTAGAATAAGTATAAATCACGTAATTTAGAATAATCATATTGTGAATTACGTAACTTACATTCTAATTTACATAATCTAAAATTATATAATCCTTTTTGAATTATAGAATCTAAAATATTGTTCCAAATATCTAAATTTAAGACTGTGGAATTTTATTATATAATCTGAATGTTTTGGATTACGTTATATACTAAGAATATATTGTAACAAAAGTACTTGATATTTTTAAGAGTACGAAAGTGGGAAGAAATAGCCCCAAACCTGTTGTGCATTGTTATGGCTATCATCTGTGCGCGTGGTAACACAGCAATTAATGTACCTATTTTTAACGATGGCATGTTCGAACCAATGGTCGTGAAATAAGAGTTAAATTTACTGACAACCTATTTTTAAATATAAAATAATAAATAATTAAATTAATTAATTTTAAAATATAAAATAATAAATAATTAAATTAAAATAGTAAATTAATGAATAAATCCGACTCAATAAAGATTCAATCCAAACAAATTAAAAATTGATCCATATTAAAAAATGATTTTTTTAAATTCAATCTAATCCAATCTCATGATAGCCGAATTATCTTGTAAATTCATTTTAACAACACTCTTATCAATATTAATTATTTGAATGCAAAATTCAAGTTTTATATAATTATTGTAAATGTCTAAATGTAACAAGGTAGAAAAAGTTCAAAATCTAATTAAAAAAACTATTAGCTTCTCATTTATTTTTCCAATAAAAAGTTACATTTATTATGTTTTACTAAGAATATGTTTGGATAAACAGTGAAAGTGTTAAAAAAATAATAAAAGGTCTTAAAAGAAAAGCACTTGAAATTTATATCCAAACAAGTTCATAGGCTCGAGCATTCATCATCTAACCTTTCTAATTTTCATTTGATCATATAGATATTTCTTTCATCAAGATACGCAGATCAAACCATGTTATAATATGTACATGTTCTGTTCCTTGTTTACCATTGAACAGCAAGGATGAAATATAATAGAAACATTGTGTTTGATTTTTTAACAATAAAACCAGTAATAGATTTCAACAATTACTGGAGTACACCATTTAAAACTCCCATTTTCTAGTAATTTTTTCTACTGTTAAACCAGACAACAAGTGGACTCAGTCAAAGCCAGGTAAAAAAAAACCCTTGTGCCAGATATAATAACCAATTTTACCACTCATCATCATGTAACTGTACCCAAAAAATGGAAACAAGGAGCATTCCTGAAGCTACTTGTGGCCCTATCATGTCGGATTATCTCTCACCTGCAAAGAAGGGCATTTTAAAAAGTAACAATTATCATTATGTAATATTTTTTCTTTCCATTTCGAACTTTAGTCACTAATTATGCTGAAAATTTGCTGCCGAAGTGTTCAACTTTGTCTAAAAAACTGGCAATTTTTTTAAAATGCACATTTTTCATGAAAAAAAAAATACATGTTTAGACAAGTTACTCAGTTTTGCAATATATATTATATATATGTTGAACTCAACTGGTTCGACTGTGAGTATGACCTTAATAATGGTTGGTTACATTCTTGTATACCTGATCTAACAAGTTTACCCAAACTAAAGGGGATGTTTTGGTTAGGGTTCATCAATGTATCTGGATTCTTGATGACCCCATGGAACTTCCAATAAAATATTTCAACAAAGAACTACTGTAATTATTGAATCTAACCTTTAAGAGCTAATACTTGATCTCCCAAAGCAAAGAGGAGTTTTTGGTATCAATTGCATATTTAAGTTCAGGTGAGACCCTCCCAGACATTCTATGTGATAACAACCTTGACCTCAAAATAGCCAGCAACTCCTTATGACGTGATTCCTTTCTCTTGAGTACTTGTATGTAAGCCTGGAATCCAAGCCATTCCACTTCTTCCTTCTCCAACTCGAGAATCGGCTGTACATCTGAATTAAGTCTCATGGAGTGCATCCTTTTCTTTATCAACAGATGCAAATATCTGGCAGTTGATCATGAAAGAAAACATAATTGATTAATGGTTGTACTTCATAGAGTTTAGGCATCCAGAAAGAAATACAAAATCATTTGATTGAGAACTCGTGTAGAGCATTAGCTTGATGATAGAAAAAAGGTTAGACACTTCAGAAAGAAAACTACATAATGTTTTATTGGTTCTGAAAAGTGAAAAAGATAAAAGTTCAGGGTGCAGACTAAAGTATTTCTAGAGTTAAGCTAAATAAGTTTCCTAACTGGCTAGTAAGATCCAGCTGTTACTAATAGACTAGTTTAGATCCATCTGTCAACTAACTACTTACAATTACACAAACTCAAAGAAAAGGCATACTGTGTGTGTGTATGTTAGGTGCTACTACCATCCGAGAAAGTATACTCTAATAAGAAAAGTCAATCAAATCAAAATGAGAAAAGGTAGTCAGGTAAGATCATCATATTACATTCATACCTCAAAGATCCCTGAATAATGTTTGAACAATATCTTTTGTGAAATTTGCAGATGAATGATAGATCCCGAATATAACAATGAAACTTCATTGCACATAACAAAAATACTTGAAAGACATTTAATCTGACAACAGCTGCTGAATTGATATTCGAATCAAAGAATATTGGGTAGCATTTAGGTCTTAGAAAGAGACACAGCTTCTCCTTAAGAGTAATGCCTGGTTTACCTTGCCAGCGAACAGTAAGTGTAGAGCTCAAATGGTTACCCAAGTACCTGTTAGAGACATGGAACTACTTATTTCAAGGAAAGAACCAAAAGATGTCTAACAGTTCAAGTAATAAACATCTGAACACATTTCAGTAGAAATTGAAGTTTATTTTAATATAAAAAATGAACATCTTACAAGAGACGGGATAATCTTGTAGACTTCTCCAATTATAACCTAATTAACCCCTCCCCCAAAATCCTATTTCTGACAACAGATTATCAATAACAAGTCTTCGCTTGTGAAATTCCAACTAGAATAATTCACTAAAATATCCTTACATTACATCTTAAACTCCATAACAGGAAAATATATGATTAAAATCAGTTTAAAACGTGTAGAAACATTTTCTTAGCCACAACTAAACTTAGACAAACAAGAATATTATGCTTACAATGTTATTTTACTAACCCAGTAAAAACTACAGATGATAAAAAGAAATGTTTGGAGTCAACTAATTTATAAGTCAACTGTTTTCTTCTGTTTATCCCAATCCTACAAGGTATCCTCTCAACCATTCAGATATCTTCAATCACAGCAACGTGGAATTCAAAAAATAAACGAGTCCCTTAAACACTGAATCGTTCAACTAAACATCGATAACAGAAATAAAAAAGATATATATAATTATTTGCTACATGTCTTCCATCAACTGAATAATGACTTTGGTGTCTATTTATGTAATTTTGTAACAGAACTCCATCTTATCACAATTTGAAACTCCACACACTAACATTATGATAAATAAACATAGAAGCAGATGTCTATCTATCAAAAATGCTAATTATGACAATTAGATCTATCAAAAAGCTTTAAGTGAATATTAACTTAGTGTAGTCAGCCTGAATTTCCATAGTGGAGCAATTGATGAGAAGACCACTCCATCGAAGAAATGAAGTAGCACCATCTTCACCCACATAAACCCTTGTCAATGAGGAACCTGATATCTGTTCTACATCAAAGTTCGCACCAAACTTTTTCTCATTCATGTAGCAATTGTAACCACGAAACCCTCTTTGTAGCCTGGAGAAAAAGCTGTCTGCCTGCCTTTTAGAGGTTGATATGAAAAGGAAATCATCAAGAAAACGCATTAGCATGTAAGAGGAAGATGAGACTTTATCAGGACAGTTGGTTTGCCCATCATTATTCTCCTTGCAGCAACCAGATTCAATAGTCTTTTCAAGAAATGGAAATATTACACGTTTCTCTAAATGTCCATAATACATGGAACAAAGCAAAGACGACAAAACTCCTCCCTGGGGAATGCCAACATCTTGTAAGTAAAATTTTCCATCAAACTGCAACACATTGTGCTTCACATGCTCCGTAAGATCTGAAAACAGAACTTTCGTTTTCACAAGCTTACATCGTTCCTGATATAAAATAGTAGTTTAAATTTATTATAGTAAGCGAATGTTTTAAGTAAAACTTGTTAGGCACAATTTAATATATCAACCATATACATTTAATATTCCTAAAGCACAATAAAATTAACCCACAAACAACTCAGTCGCTCTTATTGTTCTCAATGATAGATGAGTAAAAATTAGAACAATAGACACTTAATGATAATATTTTTCTAGATTTGGACAAGAGTACCAAAATCTCAAAAAAAAGGCAAACTAGAGACATGAAAAAAAGTGCATGAGATTGCACTATAATTAAAATCTATGAGAAATTTGAGTCATCATTCTTGGGAGGGAATGAGATATTGTTTGTCTCCTCTCTCCTTTCTAGTAGTTACAGGTCTTGTTTTGTGCCTTAAGAGATTTCACATCAAAATTTGTAGGCCCCCCTTTAATTGCTTGAATCCAAAATCAAGTGGTATGAGATTCGCGATGGAATATTTAAATGCTAGGTTGAACCCCCTTAATATCTAACTTTTAAGGAAAGGTTTCCCAAGTGGTTAGATGTTTATCAATTGGTATTAAAGTTGATTGTAGATGGAATGCTCGGTAGGACAATTAAGCTTTTGGTTCTCCCCCTTTAACAATTGGCTTCTAAGTTTGGGTTTCCCAAGTGCATTGGTGTTTATAATATTTTTTTCTCCAAAACTGTATTTCCAGATGAGACTTGGACAAAAGTTTCCTACACTGGGCTAAAGGTCATTAATGTGGGGGTATGATATGCAACACTATTTTGGAACCATGTGTTTTAGGAGAAATAAGGAACTATTTACTAAGGATGCTTCCATAAATTTGCAGGAAGTACTAGCTGACTAAGTTGTGGTATGACAAACTGTTATTTTTTTTATTTTTATATACGGTTTGAATGGGGAGCATTAAAAGATAATAGAGTTATTGCTTATTAGTATGCAATTGGATTAGCTTATTTTTATTTGCAACATCCTGAAAGAGCTTGAAAGAAAAGAAAAGAATGGTTCCTGGAAAAAGAAGACAATACTAATCATGCATTTGGTCTTATTAGTTTTAGACAATGGCCTACACTTCTAATATCAAACTATCAATCTTGAATAACATTACAGAATAGTTGATCTCAAAACAGCTTTAATGGAATAACAAATGGTGAGACAACCACTGTTACAAAATTTTACATACAAGTTAAATAATTTATATACTAGAAATTTATACAATTTCCTAATTATAAATAAATAGGCAAATTGAATCATGTTAACCAAATAGAAAAGGATACTTCAAATTGTGGTGTCTAAGCCAATGCTTGGACCATGGTATCTAGTATATAAAGTAAACTAAATAAAACAAAATACCATTTTAAAATAAGAGTAATTTTAGTGCCTTTATCAGCTATAATATGTGTATACATACAACACGGGATAAAAAACACAATTTAAATTAATATACACCTCCAATACTCAGTCATCATGTTAATTGATATATAAGAGGAACAAAAAGATCATATTTATACATTCATGCTTGAAACAAAATTATACACACCCTATTGACTTTCTCTTATGAAAAATAATACCTGGTTAACAAAGACACAATGCCGAGATTGAAAGGACGCAAATGAAGTGAATCGTGTGTGACCATTGTTGCTTGATTCATCCGACATCATAAATTGCTTTTGAACCCACAAAGACTTCTTTGTGCATATAACTTGATGATATTCTTTAAGAAAATACCCATCCTCCACTAAAACATTTTTAACTATGCCTAGAAGGTGGTTCTGATCAATAGAATCAAAAGCTTGTAACACGTCAGATGTAATCATGAATAAATTTGGCATAGTTCCTCTTTTTATCTTCTGGCCAACCAAAAATGGGCATAGTTTCTTGTAAACATCATCATAGTTAAACACGGAAGAACCTAGCTTGTGAGGCTTCTCAAAAAGAATTCCTTTCAGAATAGTATGGGCAGCACGAAGAACATAATTTACAGATGGATAACGTTTATACATGATTTTTTGGTGGTTTACTTTGCCTTTAGTTCTCCAATTTTGAACTCCTATAGTGGACAAAGACAATGGCATTGTTGAAGAACCTTTCAGATTTGCCACCATCCTTACACCATCTTCTTTAGGTTGAAGCCTAAGTTTTGAAAATCCAAACTGTCTACCTCTAAGAATATTATGTACAACCGCATCATCTAGGTAGCTATATCTCCGGTCTTTGAAGCAAACCGTAGTGTTAGCAACCAACTTTTCCCAAATTGGTTTTGCATAATAGTAAATATCATGTTTCCCTTTCGCACTTTCAGTAACATAAAAGTTTGCTTGCAACAAAGGTACAACCAAACAAGAGAAATACCAAAAAATCCACTTCTCTAACAACTTGCGTTTGACAACATGCATAGGATCATTCCTATTCTTGAATTCTTTTTGAAAGAAATGTTTATTCGATAAGAAAGGAAACCATGATATTTTCAGTTTGTGCATGCATAACTTCAATGAAAATGTCTCAAATCTTCTTAAGTGTATAAACTTTGAAATATTTCTCCTCAGTGTTCTCCATGCAAGGGGAGTACCCAATAATTCCGAAGGAAGTAAAGTCCTAGAAACAGCCCATACGAAAGATACAACTTGACTTTTTGAGCAGTATGATTTAAATCCATCATCCAAAGTATCAACACAAGTCTTCTGCAAATTTTTCCCTGATTTATTGTCCTGCAGTAAACTAAGAATTTTAAGGAAAGCTATACATAACCTCACTAAGGAAGTGGAAACTTCTTGGATCAACCGAAAAGAGGGAAAAACCTAACCTTAACTTCAGAACTTGATCTTCTAATTGTATTTTTGTTCAATGACGGAAAAACACAATGCTTATTCAAGAGTTTTGTATGCTGGCAACATTGTGTCCTCCGAATGACTTGCTTAAAACACTTAACAAGACAGTGATAGCTGTAGAAAAATAACTTTAAGTTTTTTAAATAATTACAACTTATAAGAAATTAGAACTTTCATCATTGACTTTGAATTCTAGTATATTAAAAGCACATCTAAACTACTTGATGAGAATTGTTAGAAAACTGAAATAATAAAAGGAGCAATTCAAATGTATAGAGGAGGAAACGAAATTAATTAGGAGGTTAGGCGGTTAGGGGAAGTATTTGATGTGAGTAGTTAGTTAGTTGGTTGGATGCCTTTATAAGAAGGTAGAGGGGCCTTGTAACAGGGTTAGCTTTTGTTAATTCTTTTTGTGCAGACAAGACCTTCTATCCTGTGGAGGGAAAGTGTTCCCTTTATAGTTTTAGACATGTATAGTATATTCTTTAAGTGCTAGAATAATATACCGTCTTTTTCTAGTAATTGTGTGCGTGAGAGATGTGTTTCGCGAGAGATTGATTTCTTTTAAAGAAATCTATCAAATTGGTCTAACCTGCCGGATACTTGGGAGAGGAGTGTGATGAAAGGAAGAGTCAATGCCTTGGAGCGGAGAATGATTCGTTGGAGACCACCGTGGAGGAAATAAAGGCGGAAACCAGGGAGATGCACCAAGAAATTAAAGAAATCCCTCAAATTCTTCGAAGAATGACTGGGAACTAGGACAGGAGTTCAGAGGGGAGTCGTGGGTCAGTGAATGGAGATCAAGTGGGGAAGAAAGAAGAGCCCGAGGAGGATAGTGGCGAATTGCAGAAGAATTGGATGAAACGGGTAGAACTGCCCATTTTTGAAGGGTTGGACTCGATGGGATGGATTTCCAAGGTGGAAAAATTCTTTGACATCCAAACACGAATAAGGAGAGGTTGAGGCTGGCTTACATCTGCATGGAGGGAGACGTTAGCTACTGGTTTAGGTTCCAAAAAAAGAATACCAACAACCCTTCTTGGGGAGAGTTGATAAAGGCACTGATCAGGAGGTTTAGAGGAAGAGATAGAGGGTCTGTTTTTGAGAAATTGGTAGTTACAAGACAAAAGGGAACCGGAGAGGAGTATGTTCAAGAATTTTAGATGTTGGTGGCTCAGACTATGGAAGTAACAGAAGAGTAGTTGTTAGGGTACTTTTTTGCGAGGTTACAAGGAGAGATCAGAAGCCAGATTAGGCCTCACAACCCAAAGGATTTGTTGACAACAATGGAGGTAGTCAGGGATGTGGAGAAGGCTGGAAAAAACCCGAATGTGAGCGAAGGAACGGCCAGTAGGAACAATCAAACCTTGGGGAGATATCATGGTTTTGTTTCCAAGACAGAAATTTTCAAGGGGGGCTAGAATGGACAGGGAACTATCAGCAATGCAAGTACCACGAGGAAGGAAGGGACTATTAACACGATGGGGTTCAAAGTAGGGAGCAATGCAGCTGGGGAAACCAAGAACAGAAGGGTAAGAAATCTTCCTTACCCATAATATATAAGGAGGAAGGAGGAAGGAAGGTGCTTCCATTGTGGGGGGTCCATACAGCCCAGGGCATAAGTGCCCAGAGAAGAGCATGTGGGTCATGATCCTGGCTGAAGATGATGAAGGAGGAGAAGAAGAGGAAGAAGTGATGGAACAAAAACATTGGAGCTATCCTTCTTTTTAGCGGGTGGCCTAACCCAAACCAACACGATGAAACTGCAAGGTTGGGTGATGGGAAAAAGATATTGGTTTTAATAGACAATGGAGCTAGTCACAACTTCATTTCTACAAGTTGAGGAATTGGAGCTGACCATGGAAACACCTCCCTATAAGGTGTGTCTCAGAGATGGGTAGAGGAAGACCACCCATGGGTGTTGTAACGACATTTCTTTGATCTAGGAAGGGGTGGAGATCAAAGAGAGGTTTTACCTATTCGAGTTAGGAGGGGTAGATCTCATATTGGGGATGGCTTGGCTGACATCTTTGGGAGAAGTAAAAAATCAACTTTGGGATTCAAACAAGGAAATTTTGTCAGAAAAATGAGGAGGTGATGATCAGGGGCGATCCAACTTTCACAAAAAAGGTGGTGTCTCTAGAAGCACTGCTAAAGGAGACGGAGATAGAAGTAGTAACCTTGGTCTAGGGTTGGGCAAGGCAAAATTAGAAGATGGAGGTAAGGAAGTGGCGCAGTTGACTCACGACTAGGTTGAAAATTTGGGGAAAATCTTGGGCGAGTTTGATGAGATTTTAGGGAACCTACAGGTCTTCCTCCTATAAGACACCTAGACCACAAAATACCCATCAAGGAGGGGGTGGATCCTATCAATGTGAGACCCTAAAGGTACCCACATTTGATGCAGGCAGAGATAGAAACAGGTGCCAGAGATGCTGGAAATGGGCATTATCAAACCTAGTAACAATCCTTACTCCAGCCCTATTATTTTGGTGAAGAAAAGAGATGGCAGTTGGAGATTTTGTATTGATAACAAAGCTCTAAGCAAGGCTACTATACTTGACAAGTTTCCTATCCCTGTGATTGAAGAGCTGTTGGATAAGCTGTAAGGGGCAAGCTATTTTTCTAAGGTAGATTTGAGAGCTGGATACAATCAAATACGTATGCGGGAGGAGGACATCCAAAAAACAGCTTTCAGGACTCACTAAGGTCACTACAAGTTCCTGGTTATGCCATTTGGGCTTTCCAATGCCCAAGCCACTGTTTTGAGACCATATATGAGGCATTGTGCCTTAGTTTTCTTTGACTACATTTTGATTTACAGAAGCACATGGGAGGAGCATAGGAGACATCTCAAATAGGTGCTAGGAAACTTAGGTCAACAGCAGTTTTTTGCAAATAAAAAGTGTGAATTTGAGACACATCAGATATTTAGGCCACATGATTTTTGGATTAGGGGTGGAAATGGATAATTAGAAGGTGGCAAAAGTGTTGGATTAGCCGGAACCTAAAAACATTAAGGCGTTGAGAGGATTTTTGGGTCTTATGGGCTATTACAGGAGATTTATCAGAAATTATGGCAAGATAGCTCGACCTTTGACTAATCTACTAAAGGGGCAATTTAGTTGGTCACAACAGAGCACAAATGCTATGAAGGCTTTAAAGGAGGCTATTACCACTGCCCCTGTGTTGGCTTTACCAGACTTCACACAAACTTTCCATGTGGAGTGTGACGCTTCTGGTAGAGGGGTGGGTGCAGTTTTGTCACAGAATAAAAAGCTTATTCCATATTTCAGCAAGGTTTTATCGGAAACCTCTCTCTCCAAGTCAATCTATGAAAAGGAATTGACGGCCTTAGTCCGTACCATCCAACATTTGTGACCCTACCTTCTTGGCCAGAAGCTTTTGGTTCAAGCGGACCAAAGCATTCTAACAAAATTAGTTGGCTAAATTGCTAAGTTATGAGTTTGAGATAGTGTACAGAACGGGAGCTTTCAATAGGGTAGTCGATGCCCTGCCAGGAAGGGGGAGCAAAAGGAGGAAGAAGATATGGAGTTAAGGGTGATCGTCAGACCCTATTGGCAGGAATTTCAAAAGGTGTTGGATGAGGTGGAGGATGACAGGATCCTGAAAAAAATGAGAGAAGAAGTGAGGGCAGGCCCTAACTCACACCCAGCACATACATTAGAGCACGATCGCCTTCATTACAAGGGCCACTTGGTGTTGTCTGCTTAGTTCGAATGGATTCCACGTTTATTAGCAGAGTTTCATGCCAAAACAACAGATGGACATTCAGGGGTGTACAAAACATACCGAAAGGTCACGCAGTCGTTGTATTGGATTGGAATGAAGAAAATAGTGACTGAATTTTTAGTTGCATGCTTGGTTTGCCAACAGCATAAGTATGTGGCATATCACCCCAAGGCCTGATACAACCATTACCCATTCCTCAAGCAGTATGGGAGGAAATCAGCATGGACTTCATTGTCCAGTTACTCAAATCTCATGGGTATGACAATGTGTTAGTAGTTGTTGATCGGCTGAGCAAATATAGACATTCATACCCATCAAACATCCTTACACGGCCAAGTCCATAGCAGAGGTTTTTGTAAGGGAAATTGTCAAACTGCATGGGGTACCAACATCAATAGTCAGTGACCAAGACCTTACCAACATCAACTTCTTATGAGCACTGCCCATCATCCAGAGACGGATGGGCAGATCGAGGGTCTCAACCGGATACTGGAGGCTTATCTGAGGTGTTTTAGATTAGAACAACCAAAAATTGGGAGTTTGATCTTACCTTGGCAGAATACTGGTATAACACCAGTTATCAGGGAGTTGCCAAGTGTACTCCCTTTTAGGTGATTTATGGGATACCTCCACCAACTTTAACATGGTTTGTGCCAAGGGAAACAATAGTGGAGGCAGTGGCACAAGAGTTGCAGACTCGTGATGAGGCGCTTAAACAACTGAGATATCATTTGGAGAGGGTGCCAGATCGGATGGCTAAGTTTGCCAAGAGAAAAAGGAGACCAACAACAATAAAGGAAGGGGACTAGGTTTATTTGAAGATCAAACCCCATAGGTAGGCATCTATGCCTACCAGACTACACCCAAATTTCTCAACAAGATACTATGGACCTTTTCAAGTGATTAAACAAGTTGGACCAATGGCTTTCAGAATTCAGCTTCCTGACACAACTAGGATTAACCCCGTATTTCATATATCCCAACTGATGTTGGCAATAGGGGAAGACCAATCTGTTGGCCACTCATGGTATTGAATAGAAGGACTCATTAGAATTAGGAGGAAATGGTACCACATGTGTTGATTGAGTGGCAAGAAGGGAGATTAGAAGGAGCAACTTGGGAAGATGAACTCACCACGAAGGAGCAGTTTCTGGAATTCAACCTTGAGGACAAGGTTGTTCAAGAGGCGGTGGGTAATGATAAGGTGTTAAAAGTATATGAGAGGAGGAAAAGAAATTAATTAGGTGGTTAGGAGGAGTATGGTGCTATTAGTAGTTAGTTAGTTGGTTGGGTTGCCTTTATAAGAAGGCAGAGGGGCCTTGTAACAGGGTTAGCTTTTGTTAATTCTTTTTGTGTAGACAGGACCTTGTATCCTATGGAGGGAAAGTGTTCCCTTGATAGTTTTGGACGTGTACAGTATATTCTTTGATTGCTAGAATAATATATCGTCTTTTTCCAGTAATTATGTGTGTGTTGTGTTTTGGGAGAGAATGATTTCTTTACTAAAGAAATCTATCAACTCCCCTAGAATACTGTATTTATGGCATCATTTAAATAATTTTTTAATATTATCTTTTAAAGACTTAATATTTTTAATCCCTACAACTTGGAATGAATATGATTTTGGTTGGTCATTGTTTTTTTAATGATCATTATAGTCTCTCAATTTGAGAGACCGATATCATACTTTTTTTCAAATTTTAGGGTCTAAAATATTTTTTTAAAATTGAGTCCAAAGTCTAATTCACTCCAAATTTCAAAGAGTAAAAATATAACAAAGCATTTTTTTTATATTAAGTAAACTATTGCAATACACAAACTACGCAAGACAATCTTTGCCATAACATTTGAACCAAGACACAATTTAAAATTCTTCATCATCCTCAAACGTTGGACTGATCTCACTTGAGGCCCTCCCTACAATGTTATTCAGCTATTTTATGCCCTTCAAGCTTCTCCTGACAAATTGTACCCACTGGAGATAGGTCTGTCCATTGAGTCAATAATAGAATGGTATGGCCACAAAGGTCATAAGAAATCAAAGACAACAATTGGAGGCTGCTGAATGGTTTGAGGTCCCCTCTTTTATAGCCATGAAAACACCCAAATATAATAAAGTGTGGTACAACATTTGCACTTTTAAAACCCTTTGATAAAAACTTATCAGGAAAAATGTTGAACCTTGAAATCAAAGCATTTTCTAAAACAATTGTAGGAATGTTTTAAATCATGCCTGCAGCATCTTAGTTCAAGTTCCAAAGTAGAAAGATAATTGGATAGCAGAGTAAAATAAACTTCAAAGATATTATGAGCATAGATTACAGAGCAATAACACGGGACCTTATCAATGATTTAAAGTGTAATAAATTCACATTCAAGAAAGTGGTGAAATAAAAAGGGCCTGCCTGCACTTACAGACATTCAGAGTTAATGAGACATGAGTCATTGCTGTGCAAACAAAACGTTGACTGAGCACTAGCATTTACATCTGAGAAGCCAAAAATATTACCAATGAGATGCTCTGAACAAGCCAAATTTGGCTTTAAGGAATATAAAATATCTGAAGATAATCAGTGAAGGAAAAGCATACTATCTTTGAATTAGAAGAAGTAGCAACACATGAGGCTGTTATGATATTATTATAACAGGGTAAAATAATGTCTACAATACTAGGGTAAAATAATGTATCTAAGGAACTTGAAGAGCAAGTAATTGTGTAAGAATTCATGAAACAGTTCACGTTTGAGCTTGTAAATATAGAGCAATTCCATATATAAATTTTGAAAAATGACGAAGGGAACCCAAAAAATCCCATTCCAGGAAAGGACAAGAACAACATTGAAGGTCTATGCTTTGGTGTATAGAGAGGAATGCTGGTGATTGTGTGTCTTGTTCACATGAGTACTCTTATTTATAAAGAAGAGATATAGTAATAAAAAACAAAAACAATAACTAATAATGAGAAATGTGCTTAGATATTTTCCTATTTAATGTAATCAAATCATATCTCTAACATGGTGGATACTTTTCTTTGGAAGAACTGAACGAGAAGGCTCCAGACTATAAAAAATAGATTGCCTTTGGATATTGGTTCTCTTAGGAACCGCTGGAAGAGATTGCAAGATTAAACAGCAAGCACATTGTAATGACATCTGCAGTTAAACATGTAAAGAGTACGTGAATATAAGATAATCAATTATTGGAAGATAAGTTATGCCAAATCAGCATTGAACTAGTAGATTACTGTTGGTGAAGATTGAAATAAACCCCATGGTCCTCTTGTAGCTCAGAATTAATATTTATGGTAACGCAGTTGTAACCTACCATGAACATCTTAATATTCACTCCGTCATTAACATATCCCAAAAGTCTAATCTGCATTCTTCTTTAAAAAGGATTTACTGTAGAGTAACTAGAATCTGAAATGAAGATATATCCGTCAACAGCTTTTATCAGGCAGGCTATTTTTCGTTGCTTCTTTGTGAGATTTTGCTTAGTGGATTCTAAAACAGAATATGCTTGGAAAAATAGTAGGTCTTATGACTGAAGCAAATTCCTTTTCTCCTTTATGATGTTACTTTGTAACCATAGGTAAATTATTACGCTTCCTTTCTATCTTGATGAACTTTTCTATTGTAAAGAAAAAATACCTTGTGTCTATTTATTGCATGCTTCTCATTGTAATTAATTACTGTTTCTCATGGCTTCAACCACAGTACAAAGTGCCACTAGCCAGATTCTACCTCCAGAGAATTACTGTTTTCAATACCATTGATGCAAATGGTTATTGGAAGCAAACAATTTAAACTATTCCAGCACTTCATAAAATTGTCACACAATTCTATCAACACGATTCTACCAACAGTAAAGACCAAAGGTGAAAAAGATCAAATATAATTGAAATAGATTAGATTATGAAGCAGACTATGTGAACTATTCTAGCACTTCGTAAAAATATCACGTGATTCCATCAACAGTAAAGACCAAAGATAAAAAATATCAAATATAACTGAAATAGATTAGATTTCATTTCCACCAGTTAGAAATGAACTGGGCCAACTCAAGTACTCAACTACAACATTAGCTAAACGAAGGATATTTCCCTAGTCTCAAGTAGCACTATATTCATATTCCTAGACAATGCTGAACATCTTAACACCTACAATATCAAATTACGATGAAATGTCTATAGAAGTTTAACTTATTCTAAATGTTGAATGGTTGCAAAGAGTAAATAATTACTATCACTATTGCACCATGCACTGAATCTAAAAGAAGCAACACAGCATAAAGATTTCCTTCATTCTTATCAATCCATACAATTATAAAAATTATTACAACAAAAATTATCAATATTTTGCACTGATGCTGGTAAGAAAAAGTGTGGGGTACGTGAAGAATACAAGTTTTATACAGAAATGAATCAAATACATACCAAAATTTTAGGAAAAATGTTTGTAAGTGGCATTGTAAAATATTTCATCAAAACAATTAATCACCTCTGCATGATAACTTAAGCTGCTGGTGTTTGGCTGTATATTTAGACTATTTTCTTCAAGGGTTAACTGCTTTAGCAATTTGCAACGGCGCCGCTGCCACCTAAATGGCCTAGAACGCTTTCCAAGCCTAGGTGTAATACAATTTGAACCTTGATTTCCTTCTGACCCCGACTTCCTTATAACAGTTTCAGTTCTTAAGAACTTAGGAACTTCAGAGACACTGACATCATAATTCCTGCTCCCATGATGCCTGATCAGTTGCATTGAAGACTTATCAGTCATGCCAAGGTTACTTGAAAAGCCCAGAGGACCATTGATAATGCAAGAAATATGGCACTTTCGTTTCTCTACGGGTGGGTCATCAACATCAGTTCTTTTCCTCTTTTGTTCGCCTGTTCAAATAAAACCCAATATTGTAACATCTTACTAATAGTAAAGAGAGAAAAGATATTCCAAATATGTAATGTTTCTCTAAACTAACGTTTAAGTTGTTAGGAAAGATGATACAAGATAACAATAACAATAAATGGGTTCAAAAACATCAATAGTTAATTGATTTCAGTTTATCCATTACTGATATACAGCAAGGACAATGTTTGCTGATTTCTCAGATGAGGCAATTTATATTAAAATCTGCTAAGAATTTAATGACTAGACAAGTAATTTTAAGATCATAGTACCAAATATTAATCAACAGTCTGGCATTGTACCAAATTGATCATAGTATTAGAAATCTAAATGAATAACAAAACCTAGTATGCTTGAAGAAACACGTGCATTCAAGGGTTAGGATCCACTTGTACCAGGTGTTATGTAAGTATAAAGACTACACGAAATCCCAACCATTAATTTTTATCACATATGATGATTCAGATCCGTTCATGGATATAGTTGTTGAAAATCCTCAAGTTCAAATATATGGTTATTGAAAATTTGATCAGAGAAGATTTTACAACCATATCCATGAACTAATCCAAACCATCGGATTTGATAAAATTAATGGTTGGGTTTTGGGCGTAAGTTTTCCACCTAGTGTAAACGGGTCCCAATTGTGGATTTAAACATGCTAAATGCATACATATTATTGTAATAACAAAAATCACAGGGTAATAGACAGATACTTACAATATGTCTGATAGTCAAACTTCGGTGAACCCTTGAGCATATCAAAACATAGACGACTGATAGGAGGACCTCCCACCTGGTGATGGTTTCCAAGGGGAGCTGGCAAGAATATTGATGTATTCCTTAGTAGGTAAATCATAAAATCATCCCCAACCTGCATGGATGAAAGTTTTTACCAAGTTTTGTTAAGAATAAAGAATAAAAACTAGATTAATCTAAACATGATCATTAAAATTTTGATATCATCAAATACCCTGCTTAAAAGAAGAGACCAAGATGCACTGGACAAAAGCTCCACAGTACGGCTTGAACATTTAATCTGCACATGAACAAAATAATAAAGTACAAGACATGTGTATACACACAGTAGAATCCCTATACATGCTTTTGTGTATAATAGCTGAGTTAGAGAGGTAATAAAGACATAATAGATATCTGCATAACCAATAACCACCTTCTAGAAATCCCTTCCATCTCCATTACCGTCTTGGAAAGTGAGAAAACAATGTCCAATGCAGTTCAAACAGGAAAACACACACCCTAAATCATATTAGTCTTCATAAAAAATTATATTATTGCATTATTTGATAATCCTCCATTTGACAATTTACATCATAACACTCAGTATTTAACGAAAACAGATAACATACCTAGTGAGCAAACAAAACACATCAACAAGAGTGCAATCTTAAGACATGCAACAGCACAAAAGCCACTCAACTTGCAGTGCAAAATCATAGTTGAAGAACTAAGAATCAACAACATCTTATTTAATAAAACAATTCATTTTAGGTAGTACCACTATTGCATCAAAAGTCCATGACATATCTAATCCATCACTATGAATACCTTACAATGGAAAAACAGCAACAAAGACAGCAATAAAGACAACAACAAAAAATGCCCGAGTGTAAAAAATAACATATCCTAAAATATTGTACAGCATAAAGGAAGAAACTTGTCACCCTATCATAACCAGAGCACAACATATTCGAAACTGGTTCCCTTCGATGCAGCATCTGTTCAATGGTCCTCTTCACAACCTGAAAGCCAAAATAAGCATGTATAAACCATTATCTTGAGGATTCTACCCAAAAAACGAAACCCCAACACGGGGAAAGCATATAGTACATTTTTCAATAAGTAAACTGTTAAAAACAGAAACCAAACGCCGATAACAATAATCTATAATGTTCAGAATGAGGTGGAAAACTGTATTAATCTCACTATGGAATGAAATTAGATATCTGAGTATTAGAAACCTAAGTAGAAATCAGCAGAAATGAATTGGGAAAGCCTCTGTCCTTGCCCAAGCTAGGTCTAATTCTCAAGGTCATATTTCCTCCCCCAGACCCTCTCTCTATAACAGATACCTACCTCTTTACCCCAACTATCATTGCCCCTGCATCCTGCCTCCTCATTTTAACTATTTTTTTTAACCTAAGTCAACTCCAGAGAACTGATTTATTAGTAACTAGTGTCCCCCATTTATTTACATGATCGTGACACTATCTCAAGTTTATGTGAGACTTGGGTTCATTTTTTTCAAAACCATCTCACGCTAAGCACTTTTGGAATTGGAGCAGTAATAATATTATAAGTAGACAATAATGGATTAGATAGACTATGATATTGTCAAATAATATTTCAAAACCATAAAACTGGAGCGAGATTTGGCTTGGAAGTTCCGTGTTTATTAGAGATAAGTCCAATTCTTAGTTTATAAGCAGAATTACAAGTCGATTTTGTGGAACCGATTTTGTAGAGTTGAGTTTGCCTTCCACTCACTTTCTAATAATTTACCCCACTTATGTACATTGTTATCTTGGCAGTGTAGCTAGTATATTGGAACATGGGTTTTCCCAATAATGGTTAAGGATGTAAAAGAAAAAAAAAAAAAGAATTGTCCAATTGATTGTTGAATTTAATATATCGAGTTCGTTACTAGTATCTTAACGATTAGAACATATTACTATATGCTGAGGAGTTTTTTAATAGGCAAACTTACTGGTTTTTGTGTTAGTTATCTTTTATTTTTCTTCTTTTAGTGGACAGACTTGTTGATTCTTTAGAATGTATACTCTAAGATGCTTATTTAACAAGTTAAGGTTATATCATTCAAGATTATATACAGAAAAGAGAGAAACTTTTTTAAAAAGAAAACTGTTGAGAGAGACTAAACAGATTTAACACCAAAAGCTAGAATAAGCTCAGATGAAGAACTATAACATCACTTCCAACTTTTTCATTTCTCATTGATATTCGACTTGGGACTTTGATCTCATATTCCTACTATTTAATACCTGATCCTGAGACAAGCCGGAGAGGGGGACGAAGAACGGGAGCGCAGGTGCGTTTTCGGAAACGACGACGTAGCACTGAGTTAGGAGTTTGCGGTAATCGGAAGGATCGTCGGGTCGGAGGAGAAAGGACTTGGCGTCGAGGGTGCAGCCAAGGCAACAGCGACCGTCGCATCGGCAAAGCTCCGGCGGAGGAGGGAGCAAGGATGTGACGGTGTCTGAGAGAGTTCGCGCACGGTGGCGGAACATGCGCCACAAAACGCCGGGAACCGATCGCTTGTTGCTCTTCCGTGCCATTTTGCCGGGAAAGCTATGGAAAAGTGAAAGACAGTAAAATTTTCAAACTAGAGAGAGTGAACTTATTAATTATTTTGACGTGATAATAAAATGGAAAGTGAAAAATTGAAAAAGAAAATAGTAATAATAATAATAATAGAAAGTAAAACTATAATATTTATAGTTTATATACTATAAAAAAATATTAATTAAATTTATTTATTTTTTATATTTTCACATACTGAAGACCTGTGAAAAAGTATTTCGTAGCCTGAGTCTAGTGTTGACCATTCCATAGTTATGATTATTAATAAAACTGAATTAAATTATTATTTCAGTTATAAAAAAACTTTAATTTGAATTCATGATTTGAAATTTGAAGTGTTTTGAAAATTGAACTATTTAGGTTGAATACAGTTTTGACTAATAAATGAATTTAAAGATGAGTCATTCAGGTCTTCTTCTTTCTTACATTGGGTTGTGTTTTGGAACTCAACCTTTTTCTACTGCATACGCAAACATTTATCTTGTAGTACAAGTAATCCCAAAATCTAATTATATAATTTTATTATTTTATAAAAATACTTAATGCAACTTAAATGCCAAGAGACACATGATGCTATATAAAACGAAAACGAGAAAATAAATAAATAAACAGCCCAATAAAAAGGAATCTATAGTCGGTTTAATGTCTATGGTACCTTTTTAGGGTAGTGATAGTTCAACTCTTTAGTCTAATATTCTAATTGTTGGTTTTTGATGTTGAGAAAAACCTAAAATGTTACTTTGTTATTTAAATATTGGGTAATTTTATTATTATTTGGATAACATTAGTGAGCTTAAGCGATGGGGTTGGACATTTTAACTTCAGATGTATTTGTACTAATTTCAACTTTAGAGAAATTGCATTAAAAATTATTTAGAAATTAATAAATATTTATAAATATATGTTATTTTTCTTTATTGAAAGAAATAAATAATTAAATATAATATAAAAATATTTGAGATATTTCAATCCATATAAAAATTAAGTAAATATAAAGAGTAATGATACCAAGACACACCTTTATATTCATTTGACACAGATTACAAGGATAAAATGGTTAAAAAAGTGTAAAATTTTTATATTGTTTTAAGAAAAAAAATAATAAAAAGTAAGTAAAAATAATGTCAAATGAATGTAAAATATTTAAGTGTGTAAAAAAATCTTTTACTCAAATATAAAACATAAAGTACTGACTTGTGAAATTCTATCTTTTTTTATATATATATATATATATATATATAATTACACGTATTTATATTTATTTGACAGACATTATAAAATTAAAATAATTATAAAAAATAAAATTTAATACTTTAGAAAAAAAATGTTAAATAATATAAAATATTTGTGTGTTGAGGTATATTTTTGATATATTTATGTTTTGTTTAAGAATTACACACTCATGATAAACAATAATCATGACACACATAAAATTTTTATATTCATTTAATACTATCATTTATTATTTTTTACTCTTTTCTCTTTTAAAAATATAAAAAATTATTTTTATAATTATTTTATTTTTATATTGTGTATCAAATGTAAAAGTATAAATAAATGTAAAAGTACGTAATCCTATTATTACCAATAATAAAAGGTAAGATTTCAAAGTATTATTTCCCAAATTATAAACTTATAATTCCATGACTTACAAGAAGACACAATCACACGTAATAATACATCAACATAAAAAAAACATGTCTAGGTCAGCATTTTATTCATAGTTTGACATATAATTGATGTAATTAAGGGCAACTAAGGCCCATAAGACATCAAATTTTATTTATGAGATAGCAGTATGATGCATGACAGTGATTTAGAGCTAGTCCTTCTTAAGAAAATCACCAACTTTTTTGATGACCTCATTTCCAAATTGTAACATGGTAACAGGATCAGGAGTGTCATAGTTTTGTTTCTCGTACTCCAAAACCAGCTTTGTAACACTTCCATCTTCCTTTGGAATGAACTGCATCACAAACTTGAAGCTCTTATACTTTTGCAGCAGATCTCCCTCTATCACCTTGAAGCTTACTTTGCAGTTTTTTCTGTCTATGTCTCCGATCACCTCCTTTGCCACACAGTTATTTCCATCTGTTCTTATGCATATATAACGCAGATCATCATAGTAGTCTAAAACATGTCTAACCCTAATTAACCTAGTTCGGATTCTCTGTTGTTTTTTTTAGTATTATCCTTCTACTAAAGCTTTCAAAATACGATAATGTTAGTATATAAAAGAGTTTTAATATGTTTTAAAACAATATAAATTAATTATTTTAAAAGTAAAACAAACAAATAACACAAAAAATTAAGCAGAGAATCCGAATTCCAAACAGTCATCCCTCGTAATCAAGATGAAAAAAAATATGAAAAAGATTGCAAGAAATTGATGTTAATATAATTTTTATTTTTTGTATATTTAGCGACAACAATTTGATGTAAAAGATTGGAAATTAATAGATAGTAAATTATTCAACTTATTTTACCTGTTTTAAGCTTTTTATTAAAAAAAATAAAGTTTTATTAGTAAATATTTTGATGCATACTAGATTAACCACTTCGAATATTCTAATTAATTATATTAAGAAGCATACTTTAAGTAATTCAATTTTATTTATAAAATAAAATTTACACTAACTTATATATATTATAAATTTATTTTATTTATAGTCAAGATCTTTAACTAATTAACACAAAAATCATACTTAATCATACATAAAATTATTAATCTACTACAAATAACTCTTCAACTAATTATATATATTATTTTTTTAAGATAAAGTAAACTATATAGATGCTTTAAAAGTTTAAACATATATAGTAGAAATGCAAAAACAAATTGTTGATAAAATTAAAAGGGATAATGATATTTTAATAACACTTTTTTGACAACATTCTAACATCATATACGTGTCATTCTATGATTGGTCCATGTTAGTGTTTATGATTATTATTATTGATATTAGAATAATTTTAGACCAACCACAGAATGATAAGTAAATGAGATTAAAATATTGTCAAAGTATCGTTATCCAATTAAAAGTGATAGTTGTCATACCATGCACGTACTTCCAAGAGATGATGGATCCTTGAGTGCCCCATTCACCTTCATTAATCTCAATGGATTTTACCTTCGTGGGAAAGACTTTGGCAATACAGTATGTTTTGTTGCAGAAAACATCAAATACCAGCTCAGCAGCTTCTTCAAGATAAACATTAGTTTCCAGCTTTTGAACTTGAGAGTTCGCCATCTTTCCTTATAACTCCTTCCAAGGTATGCAAAATGAGTGAACAATGCAGCTCTATATATATTTCTGGAAAAAAGTTTAATCATATCCAAACAAAGTTTAATCAATGTCTTAATAACCAGCTTCTTTAGGAGAGTTTTTAGATTTTTTTCTCTCTCAATAAATTAAATGTAAAAATAGCTTACACAACATTTTTTTTATAATTTAAATCTTATATAAATAAAAGCATACTGTGAAAAAAATTATTTTATTAATATTTTTTTACAGTTAATATGTTAAGTTTTTTATTCTAACTTATAATCCATATTATCAGTAAATGTTACTTATTAATAGGTATTTCTATCACACTTAATTAATAAATATAACGAAAATTCAATTTTCAAAATAAACAATATCTGAAATGTGTAATGATTAATTCATCTTAATGATATCATTTAACTCGAAATTATAACAATAACGTTTCATATATGAAGTAAATATTTAAATTATTTTAAAACTAGACTCTTAAATTATGTGAAACTATCTGATGTAATAAAAAAATTGAATATAAAGTCTCACATTTTCTTTTTCAACTTTACTGTTAAGTTACTTTGAAAGACGTGTCTTAATTGATAATACAAAATTAAGTAATTGAAGAAATAAAGAAAACTTTTTTTAAAAAAACTAATTTAATATATTCTTTTTCACTTATTATTTATTTAGGTGGTCTTTCTTGTTTTACTTTTCTCTTTCTTACCAAATAAAACCAAAGTTTTTGGAGATATCAAAACAAGAATTTGCAAGGCATCTTCTTTCCTCTAGAGAATGTGGTTAGGACGAAGATGCTGCCAACAAAAGATCCCTGCGTACTCACAGCATAAAGGGATTAATCTAATCATGAAATAAATTTCTAGGGAAAACGAGAAACAAAACTATGGTATATATTAATGAGTTAATACTATTTTTAGTTAATGAGTTAATTAATGATTATCTCTATTTCTCATCATGTGTGAATTGGTTTACTCAAAACAATAAATGTGATTTAATAATAACAATTTAGGAGAAAGAAAATACTAAAAAATCTGTTTGGTTCATAGTGTATAAGTTGATGAGAGTTTAATTTTTTCCAAAGTCTAATTTTTTTTTTTCTCAATGTTTAAAGAATGCAAATTTTCCAAATTTATATAACTTAATGTCACACCGATTCTTGTAAAATATAATTTAGTGTTAAGTTAACCTTTTTTAAATAGAAAAAACCTTTTGTAAAATTTAACAATAAAATATATTCATTACATTTTTACCATTTAATATTTAAATAAGAAATTTCGCTCTTTTAATTAATCTTATCACATCACTTTACTATTTTTCGTAAAAAGAATTATCACATGAACCACTTGGCTCTAAAAAAGATGGAAGAAACACTGAAAGATGTGTCCTAATGTAAAATCAAATGATTCCAAAGGAATACAAAGAAATACTTTATAATTTTTTTTTTGCTTATTCTTTAATTTAGGTGCTCTTTCTTCTTTTACTTCTATTCTTTCTTAACAAATAAACAAGTTTTTGGAGATATCAACACTTTCTTTCTTTTAGAGAATGTGATTAGGACGAAGATGCTGCCAATAAAATATCCCTGCTCTTCTCTCTATATATAGGGATTAATCTCATGAAATAAAACTTTAGAGAAGAAGAAATAGAAAATTATAGTATGCACTTTGTTTTTCAATGTATAAGTCCTTCTTTATGATTTTTAAATATTATTATATTTGGATTTTGGTTGAACTAATTTTTAAATAAAAGATATCTTTAGAATCAATTATCATATTTTGAGATATTATTTGTTTTCAAGCATTAATTTTGTCACAGTTTTTTTAAAGATGTTTTGAAAGATGAATGGAAAAAAATATTTAAATTACTTTAGGCGTCGACTATTAGATGATGTGAGATTATTAAATATGATAGAAATAAAAAGATTGTGAAATCTATGTTTTATTCAAAGAAAAATTTTAAATAGATAAAAGATAAACATTTATTCTTTATTTTATTCAAAATTTTATTTCTTTGAATTTACTCTGTTTGTAAAATCTTTTGTTTAATACCTATTTTGATCCCTATATTTTGTTAGTTTTATTTAAGATTGTCCTCGAGTTTTTTTAGCGTTCAAAGTGGTCCATTCTTTTGTAAAAATTGATCAATTTGATCTTTTTCGCTAACGACATTTAAATCATTAAGGGCGTAATGTCCACCTTAGCCAATATTTAATGAGCTGTCAATTTTTAAAATACGTGGCAAGATAAGACCTATGATTCTTTATTAATTTTTGTTGTTGTCCATATATAGAGTTCCTTTAAAATGAATTGATTCTTTTGATATATTAAAAAAAAATTAATAGATTTTAAAACATAAAAAATGAACATCATATTTTGAAGACAAAATAGAAAAACAACACCAAAAATTCATTATAGAAAGAAATAATAAACTACATTAGACAATATTTTATTTGATAGAGAGAAAAATAAAACTCGAAATAAGGAATATGAGAATGACTTTAATGCAAATGTTTTTTTCTTCAACTTCTTCTTAAACATGTTCAGAAGATCATCTTTTATCGAATTTTTTATTTTTAAAGATGATTTATCTTAAAATTCATATCACTTAGAAGATTTTTTTATCAGTTGTATTTGTGAGTAAGGTATGCATTAATTTTGTTGTTGATCTGAAGTGTAATTTGCAATATGGCATGAGGATCAGGAATTTGATGTCTCTGTTTCTGATATTCAAAGACACAATGCACTGTGCTTCCTTTTTCCTTTGGAGTAACTTGTATCATAATCTTGAAGCTCTTGTAATGTTTCAGCAGTTCTCCTTCAATAACCCTAAAGCTTATTTTCTTCTTTTCTTTGTCAATATCTTCCAGCATCTCCTTAACCACACTAACTTTTCCCTCTTTTGTTCTCCAATATAAAACACACATTTTATAGTAAGACTTCAAATCAAACCCTATATAATTTTATTTATAACATGTATACATTTCATTATATATATATATATATATATA